ACCATCACACATGCCACTAACGCACATGCTACCAGCACACATGCCACTAACACACATGCCAACAGCACACATGCCACTAACACATGTGAATCTGTTTTTTTTGACATCGTAAAATAAGAGCACATAAAATGTAATTCAAATATCCAGAAAGAAGGGCATTTCACCCAAGCTACACTGTAAATTAATTCTTGCTCCTCTCCCAATCAGAGAAAAAGACTCCTTAAAATTAGATTTCTAGATCTGTGGGTGTCTCATCACAACTCTCAATGTAAAAGACGTAGATTTCTTAAATGTATAATGAGCAACACAAGGAATCCAGAGTCCAGAGTCATGCTGACGAGACAGTCCACCTTTGGTGGAACCTAAATGTGGCTTCAGCTTCATTTTGGCTGCCACAAAAAATCATGATCTGTTAAAGCGAAGGTGAAGCTCTGCCACCTGTGCCGCCTCTGCCCTCTCCACGTGCAAAGCAGCTGTGACTCTCCATGAAAGGCGTGGCATCAGAGGACAGTTCACCCCACCCATGAACTGAAGTAGACCCCAGACTGTGCCTCGCCTCTGCTACAGCCTGTACTACCTGACATTCCACAACACCAAGGGGACCCCATACAGCTTATACCAGGGCTATTTTAAGACCCACATTTGATACTACTGAGCACTTGGGATGGAATGAGAAGACAAATAATGTTATATACACGGCTGAGTCGTTACACCGTGCTTGCTTTCCTCAGTTTCCCTCCGTTGTTCTATCAACAGACAGAAGACGGCCTTAGCCCGTCACTGACCTTATGAAGGGCGGGAGCCAAGACTGGAACCAGGAAGCCATTGTAGATGTAGCTGACGAGCTGAGAGCGGATCAAGGGGTGGGCCACCTGAGACAGAAGGACACAGGGCTCAATCTCCGCAGTTCTTTAAAGCCAAGCAGTTCTGTGTGTATCTTACATTCAAGATGGAAACCCAAATTTGGGCCATGTTTTCATTTGTTATATAACACTTCAGACCCCATGATGACATGATATTTTTTCAAATCTCTATTACAGTATAAACGGCTAAAGTTATACTTCCAAATATGGAAAAAACGTTAATTTTAAAGTTGATTTGAAAAAGACAATGAATAGACTGACTATGTATAAATATTTATAAGTCTAAATGAATAAATTAGAAAGTATAATTCTTGCCCCCTAACTCCCTGGGGGCTCCAAATCCACTTGTGTTCCAGTTTTAAGAGCGTAGCCATAGAAAATGATAATTAAATGTGCTTATTTTGCTAAAAGAGAACTTTAAAGATGCATTTCCTGGTATTTATATTAGGGAGAAAAGAGTCTATAAAATGCTCTCATAAAAAGTGGACAGTTGTTCAAAAGCAGAAAACGTTGGTGGTACTGAACTTCCCAAATTTGATTTTCAAAATACATGATAACATGGACAAACCTTTACTAATATTTTTATAAGTAATGCTTTCCCTAACCAAAAGTCATTATTTAAATGTTTTAAAATAATGTTTGCCTTAAGTTTGAAATAAAGACATAATTTCCCCACTCTTCACCATGTCCTTCAGCTTTACTGAGAGAGAGGGAGAGGGAGAGCGCTTCAGTCAAACAATAACGTAAAAAGCAGTTTCTAGGGAAGTAAGGCTAGCTGTTTAAATTACTGACAATCTCCCTGTACATCCCAAGAAGAGGTAATAGTAGCTCCATCATTTTTATTCCCATACATTTCTGCAAGAAAATGTTGATAGACTATAATATTAAAGGGAAAATAATTTAAAGTGTAATCCATTTATCTTAAATACAAATAAAACTTCCTTTGAGTTAGCAATAAAAATGAGATGGGAACTAAAGTAATTTACTTTCCCTTTCCTCCAGAAGCTGTTTCTTTATTTGGTAGAAAAACAGATTATAACTGACATTTCTCACCCTAAAAAAAATCACCATAAAACAAACCTGATTTCTTAATAAATCCAATATTAAGGTAACATTTATGCTACATAGAAGAAATTTTGATGAAAACTTAGTATGCCCTTAAACATATATAAAATTGGATTTTTATTGAAAGCAGTAACAAGAAATCCGACAGTAAAAATCTAATCAAAAAGCCGAATACACAAGAGTTCAGTGGTTGTTTTTCCCCCTAAAGCAAGCCAATTTCAAAGTAAATTTAATTTGTGTAGCTAAGAAGATTGTTAACTTCTTCCAAATTCAATTGGGATAACAATATTCTTTATGTAGTGTGCACCATTAAGCAAAATAAAGTGTTTTCCTTTGTAAGCTCCCAGGAAGACCTTGAAGTAAAAGGGTTATAATTTGGAGTACTTAAGCAGCCTAAAAATATCTATTTAACGAGCTAGCCTGTGAACTTATTTTTGATGGGTAAGTGGATAATCAAAACAGAATAACACTTTTTATAGAGAAAATAAAATCTTTCATTTGTTCTCCATTGAAACTTTCAGAAGTCTATCAAACGGTTTCACTCATTTCAGGATATTCAATGGGATTCAGGCAAAGCTCTATGACTCCATGAGCATGTCTCAAAACCGAAGAAGGGTTCATTTAGAAGAAATCTGAATGAGGAGGGTGCTCACGCACGCGGCTCCCCAGCAAGGCTGGAGCTCGCAGCAGACTCAGCCCACCACGGGTTGTGCTGCTGCCATGCAGTACCTGGATGACAGCGTTACAGAACTCCAGAGAGTTCATGAACTGCACGAGGGGGGGCAGCAGGAGCCAGTCGTCCTTCAGAAGGCAATGCCACTCCTCACCCTTTTCTTCCAGCTTCGTGGGCAGGGATGAGTACAGGCCACTGAGTCCGGTTGCAAGTACCTGCATTCAGAAAAACAAGTCAAAACAGTCTTGTCAGAAGTCCTTGATCTATACTGAACAGCTCACATGAATGCCTATGTTACTGGTCCAAAGACCAAATACAGAGTAGCAATAGAAGAAGGTGGCAACTAGCTAGGATGGTTTAATCCTGTTCTGTAGATAGAATAAGGAAGCTGTACCCCAGCAGACAGCAAGGCAAAACCAGAGCTAATTAGCTACTAGTCAAGAGGTTGATGAGGGTGGCTGATCTTTTATGTCAGGCATCATGATAAGTCAGGAGTCAAAAAGTGAGAAGGCAAGACACAAAGATGAATAAGTCTCATACCCGAGAAGTTCAGGGAAGGGATAACTCACAAGAAGCGCGGTACCGCATAACTTGAGAGAGCCAATAGAGAAGTGTGTCGGTGCGATTACTCCAGTCTATGGGAGGCAGCCTGGAGTAGAGGTGGGCCAGGACGGGAGGCTCTGAGTAGTTTTGTGAGAAAGATTGCTTGTTTGTCAAGGATCACGACTGACACTTACTAGCAAGTTTACATGGTAGAAAACACTTCCATATGTATGAGTTCCTCCAACCATCACTAACAATGTAACAGGAAGAAAGAACAGGGCGGGGAGAAGGGCAGGACACTGAGATTTAGTAACAGAAGTTCAAACAGAGCAACTGTGAGTCCACACTGAACATCAGTGGCGTCTCAGTGCAAAATGGATGAGGATTATCTAACCAAGACCTTCCGGTTTTAAGTCAAAACTGGGATTTACTTTTTCCCCTGTGCATTCAGTTCTTAAAACTATGCCGACAGTATTTGGGCCTGGCAAGTGAGATTAAGGACTTTAAACTGTCAAATTCTCCAACTTGATCTTAAGAAACAGCTTTTAAAGAGAAGTACAGAAAAGGATCACTTCGTGCCAAGGGCTTACAGGATAGAAGGGCGGGGAGGCTGTGAGTCTCACAGGGCCATTGGCTTCCGCTAACTATGCAGCATCTCAGACAGCCGGACTTAGCAAATGTACAGAAGGACACGGACCGCACACAAGAAGTCAGCTATAGGGCTGGAGAGATGGCTCAGAGCTAAGGACGCCTGATGTCTGACCACATGAACTTTATCCCTGGGACCTGCACGGGGGAGGGAGAAAACTGACTCCTGAAAGTTGTTTTCTCGCCTCCACACCAAGGCACACCATGGCATATGCACGTCCACACACATACGCTCACAGGCATACACGATATAAATAAATATATAGTTAAAAACTGAAAGGGGGGAAAAAGCAAAAAAACAAAAGTTGATTACACAAGACACTGTTCTAGCACAGGTCCCGAAGTGACTCAATGGATGGAAACATTCAAGAAAGGATTCTGAGCCAGAAGAAGAGGCAGTGGCGTACATCATTGACCTCCCAGCCATCGAGAGACAAGCAAGGAATTACAATACTGTTAGAAACGCTGAAAACACACAATAGGACATTTAGGATGCTGCCGACATACAAAAGCTCTTCACTCTGACCTGAGGGTAGGGGATGAAAATGGGAATTGGTCTCAGAAGCGCTGTCCAGACCGCTGAAGAGGAAACAGGAACAAGCCAGAAATTGAGCCATGGAAGGAAAACTATTTCAAGCAGAGGAAAGCCTGTACAAGGGCTGAAAGGAGAAAGAAGAGAAGAAAACCTCAGGACTAAGCAGCCCAGCGCTGTCAGAACAGAGAGGGCTGACCACACAGAAGTAAATACGAGCCACATCCTGCAGGGTTCTAGGGTGCTGCACAGAGGGCTCGTGAGACTCCTGGGTAGAGAGCCCTATGGACAGTTGTGTGGGTCTGCCGCCTGCGAGAGTACTGGACTAAAGGCGGCCAGCTAGAGCCATCGTGTGAAGCCAGCGCTCAAGCAGAAAACCAAAGAGGAATAGGATCATGAGAAGTAAGACAAGTTAAAAAAAACAAAAACAAAAACAAAAACAGAGCCTGGCATGGGAAACAAAACACAGAGAAGCCTTGCAGGCAGAAATGTTAAAGTCCAGGGGGAAACGTCCATAGCCCTACAGTTACCTCTACTTTCACTTGGCGAAACCGTCACCTCTCTGGCATACACTAGCTTACGCTCTGTCTTCTCTGTCTCTCCTGATTTGACCTGGTCACATCAATCTACACCGGAGATAGGGATGATTGATACAATCAGGTGTGTTGAGTCTCGACTGTGACCTTCCAAGAGTAACACAATGAACTCAGTGATGAGGGAGTACACATCGCGGAGGCCTCAGCACAAGGAAACCCCAGAAAGCCTTAGGAGAAACTAGGAGCTAAGATGACACAGACTAAAGGACAATGGGAGGAACAGATGGACCATATCAACACTCTATATATACAGATTTATTCCTTTGTTCTATTTCCTAATAGCTTTTAGACACTCATACATTAACTCACTCATTAATAAGAAAAATCCTGACTACTTAATTTCAGGTCTGATGCTAAGTATAGGAAACAAAACAGTAAGCAAGATTGATCTTTTATCTCTTTAAAAATCGGGGCATCTGTGGTCCCCAAGGAAAATGTCCTCTATTTAAAGCACTCAATACCTTGGAACATAACCATACAAATCACGTTAATACTAGTTTTGAGTGTGACCCAAATGAGTTGTCTGTTATAAATGAGAAACCTCTGGCAAAAGCATCTGGAGCCCAAAGTCCTCCTAAGAAGAGAAGTCTAATCTTGATGCTACATTTTAAAAGTCAATTACATTTGCTAACTCATGCTAAATTAACCACAGAACAAAGACTTTAATTCTGTGTTCTCCTGGTTTCTAAACCACTTTGAGACTCTGAAGATGAATTCATAAAGACAAGCTTAATTTGTCTGACTAAAAAGCTGGGAATAACTATTCAGTATATCAATATAATTACAGCAACATTAATTTTCAAATTACATACATCAGTGGCAGTAATTAAAAATAACACACACCTAATACTCACTTTTTAAGTGAGTTTTCCTAAAGGGCATGGCTGGGATGTGAACAGCAGGAAGCCTGCCCAGACAGAAAGACGCACCCCATGCAGACATGACAGCTGATAGGGCAGGGTGTCCCCACCACGTCCCCGACACTATAAGATAGGGCTAGGAAATAGCCCAGCTACTTTCCCCAGAGTGGAAAAAACAAAAAGGAAAATAAATTCGACAAAATAAAAAGCACTACACATTCTTCGGACAGGAGTGTGAGTCTTCACATCTATTGACAACTGCATTCCCTTCCAAGGCTCTGAGTTCAGATTCATTTATGTAGATTACACACAATTCTAGAACATGGGCTGTGGGCCATGCATAGGCAGGCAACAAGTCAGGCCAGGAGAGGTGGAGAGGCCAGCTCAGGATCACAAACAGGACCCTCGAGAATACGGAGGTGCCGAGGGAGCAGGGCCAGAGGAAAGAAGTGGAAAGAGGAGAAGAGTAGGCGGTTTTAGTTTCAGTTTTGTTTTGTTTTTAGGTTCAAGAACTAACATCAAGAGAGATTTACTTTTAAATTTCACCGTGTAACTTGAAGACTAAATTATAAAAAGGTGCATTAACCTGCATTCAATGGCTAATTAAAAGTAAGAGGCTCATCTACCCAGACCACAAAATTGTAAAACATTGTGTTTATTCTCAATACATTAAATATTAACCAAGTACTTGTCACTTGTCATCTCCCTAAAGTGCCCTTGATTATCATGGGCTAAGGAGATGACCCGGCGGGTAAAGTGCTTGCTCCACAAGCAGGAACTTCCTGTTCTCTGATCTCCGGCACCCACACAAAAGCCAGGGAGGTGTGGTGCCTCAACTCCGGAGCTCAGAAAGAGGAGCCAGGCCGTCCCCAGAGCCAATCTGGACAGCTAGACTAGCCAAAAGGGCAGTAACAAGCTTCAGTTCAAAGACTCTGTCTCAGAGGATGAGGTAGAGTGATCAGGGAAGAAAGCTGGTATCAAACACAAGGGTGTGTGCGTGTGCGTGTGTGCGTGTGTGCGTGTGCGTGTGCGTGTGCGTGTGTGTGTGTGTGTGTGTGAAGGAAGGATTACCATAGAGGGCCATATCGATAGCAACAGTGAGAAGCAATAACTTCTTGACAGTCTGGGGTGGCTATGCTGCAACAAGCAGTTTTAGTATCAGACAAATGTGGTTTTGAGCCAGACTCTGCCATTAAGTGGAAGTTGTTGAACTCTCTAAACTTAAAGGAGCTATTGTATGGATTAAAGAAAATAACCCCATACAAGATTAGTGCAATGGTTTGCACGTGGTGATAGAGGAAGGACAAGCCATGCACACAGCACCGAGCAAGCTACAGTCAACCTTTAAACATCCCGCAGTTCTTGGTTAATTTTAGCAGATAACGACGATTTTTAGCAGATGGCTTTGGTGGGAAGCTAGCAGCAAAACACCTGGTAGAGACCATTTGCTACAGCTTGCCAAAATAAAAGGTCTCATAAATTCTGGGTATGTGATAAAGAACTCCCTACCTGTGGCTCTGCACCTAAAGGTCACCTGCTCTGATTTGCATTGCTTAATTCATATCTACAAGGCTGCGTGCTCCTTGCCAACATATGACAAATAGTCTAAGTGTCTACATTTGGTTAAAAAAAAAAAACAAAAGGAGAGAAGTGATCATTTGTTGGTACCAGATTGTTCTCCAGGGCGTTTGCATTCTCCTTCTTTTTTTTGAGAATCAAGAAATGAGAAAGAACCCGTGTGCTCTTCCTATCAACTTTGAAGACAAAAGTTTCCAAAAGGGGTCCAGTTTGCTAAGAGAGCCATTGCTCTTCCTACAGCCTGATGGTAACACACTTTGACAATCATACTAATTAGAGAAAGTTCTTTGTCAATTGTGGCCCTTAGCTGGTTGGCTAATAGAGTATGCTTTTATCTGCAACATAAAGGGCTTTTTTATTTTAATTATGTTGTCAGATGTAATTATGGAAAACTGGGTATAAATGAGATTATGGGCTCTATCCTGAGGGGCAACCTAACCCAAGAAACTTGTCTTCCATTTTAACAAATAAGGTCAGCTGGCAAAGTTTCTTGCCCTCCACTTTTAATGAACTGTATAACGTTTTCAAATGCATTTTTATAACAGCAACAATTAGTGAAATCAGCTCAAACACAGTTAATGGAAATTTAAACATTAAAACTACCCCACATTCTTCTCCCAATACAGCTGAATTTTTCAATTATGAAATATTACAGATAAGTAGAAAATGACAGACTTGAGAACCACCGCAGTATTTATCAGGCTTTATCATTTTGTTACAGTTTCTTCAGAGTATTTTCTGCATGCTTTTCAAACACTGGTACAGCCGCAGGTGGGGCGTGGGGCTGAGTGACAGAGTGCGTGCATGAGGGTCTGGGTTCAACCCATCCACAGCGCCAACCAACAGAACAAATCCTGCTTCATTCCCACTGCCATCCTCTTCCTTCCTGCCTCCTAAGGCTGACTCGAGTCCTGAAGTTAATACATATTATTCTTGTTCTTGGTTTTGTTTTTGTTTGTTTAGTTTTTGTTTGTTTGCTTGATTTGTTTTTTACTTAAACTATGTGTGTGTCCAAAAAAAAGGGTACCATTCTAAAGCCTTATGTAAATTTTATGTAAATGTTAAAATGGTAGGCTGCACTTTGCTATTTATTCATGATGCAACATGCTTTTAGATTTGTTGGTCTTCATACATGTAGGTGTAGCTACATACTAATAGACATTATCATGGTCTAATAATCTTTTGTCTTCATACATTTCAACTTTTATTTTCTTTAAATCACTGTTCCACTCAACATACCTGTGACAATATTTGTAAGTAAAGCTTCAGGGTCACACAATATGCAAATATTTGATGTTAGTGACCATAATTATGTTGCTTTCTGAAACATATATCAACTTATTTTCTCAGAAGTTCTTGTCTTTTCTGTATCTTGAAACACTTGGGCACATTACAGTTACTCAAAATCCACAGTTCAAATAAGAATTCACTTTTGCTGTACATTCTGTGGCTTTGAGCAAATATACAATGGCATGCACCCACGCTAGTGTTTCCGCTTCCCTAAAAACCTCCCAGGCCTTTCCTGCCTCCTTTGGAAGGTGCTTCTCTTTTGTAGATATCATAGAGGTGTTCTCTCTAACATGTCACCTAGTGTATTCAGACAGCTGCAGCCTTTTCAGATTGTTTTCTTTCAACTTGGTAGTTATGTGTTTAAGGTTCCCATGGTATTTTCATGTCTTGTTAGGTCACTTCAATATCTGGATGGATCAGTTTTTATTCACCTAGTAAGGGTGCTATCTTGGTTGCTTCTACAATTAAAACTATGAATAAAGCCACTAGAAAGATCCATGTGCAGGTTTTTGTGTGGATGTAAGTTTTAACTCCTTGGCATAATATCAAGAAAGGCATATGATAAAAAGTATGTTTTATAGAAACAGTCAGGACGGGAAAGATAGCCCAGTGTTTAAGAACACTGAATGTTCTTCCAGAGAACCTGGGTTCAATTCCCAGAACCAACAGGGTGATTCACAATCCCTGTAATTTCAGTTCTAGAGGACTGAATGCTATCTTCTGACCTCCACAGGCACTGCATGCAAGCACAGACACACTTGCAGGCAAAATACTCATATATATGAAATGAATACATAAATAAACCATTTTATAAAGAAAACTATCAATCTGTCTCCAAAGCAGCTAAACCAATTTGCATCCCCATAAGTAATTAATATGAATTCCTATTTCCACATCCTTGCCTGCACTTGGTATTGTTCGTAGGGTGTGTAATGCACTTGGTAATGTTTGTAGGACATTGGCTGCAAGTGAACCCCTCTTCATAAGCATCATATCCCCATGCTAAGCAGACACGCCCACTCACCACATATATTTCTAAATGTCCTCTAGGGAATGTGTTTCTCCTGGTCTAAAATCACCCATACGATGTTTACTAACAATAACAAAAAATCTTTGCCTTGCCTAGTCCAACAAAATTCACCAGGGCTCTCCTAGCTATTTCACATACATAAGGCTACATGATTTATAAAGACTGGTAGAAAAATAGAAAGTATCAATGTTCACTGAGCTTAGAAAGCATTGATAGCTATTGCCCAACCAACATAACACCCAGATCACTCCAAGACCTACGAAGCCCTGAAGATTACATACTGTTCCCAACTTTTCCTGGTGCTGAGCATTGGCTACTCCAATACATACCATTTTGGTTTCACTCCACAGATTAAGAAACTATACAAAGTAGAGAATTTTTTGTTACTGCAAATACATATTCATTTCTCAATAAAATCAACGCTCTAGACCTACAACTTACAGTCGTTATCTTGCTGAGAAACAAATTAATTTACAAAAGTAGCTGTGAGGGGTCTTACCACATGCCTTGACTCAGTGGAGCAAAGTCAACCTGAAAGGCTATGAATTTTAAAAGTGCAGGCTTTACCAACCTCTATGCATACACTCTACGAAGAAATAAAAAGTGTTCCCAACACAATAAAAATGAATTAAGAAATGGTCACAAGTTTAAAGGTAAATTCTGAGCTGCTACTGCTCAGCCGTATTTTAGCACTGAAACTTAGAGACCTCTGCTGCCTCAAGTAAGTTCCTCTGAACGTCTTTCCGTGGAAGGAACAACTTCAAACAAACGGAACAAAAGCATTTGCTATGGGCACATGAGCGGAAAGAAGTGAGCTGGAAGGAAAGCACAGCAAGGGAGGGGACTTACCTGGAACATGAATGGGGCCTGTTTGTTTGTGTTTTTCTGTCCTGCCTGGTACCCCCAGCTGTTTAGTCCCAGAGAAAAATCACACAAGATCTCTATAAGTTAAAAAGCTGATTGGCCCATTAGGTGAGGCTTCTTACTAGCTAACTCTTACATCTTGACTAACCCGTTTTTCTGATCTATTTTAGCCATGTGGCTCAGTACCTTTTTCAGTGGGGCAGCTTACATCCTGCTGCATCGGTGGTCTGGGCAGGAGTGGGAGCAATCAGCTTCCTCCTCCCCAGAATTCTCCTGCTCTCCTTGCATCATTTCCACTTCCTGTCTGGTTTTCCCACCTACACCTCCTGCCTGGCCAATCAACGTTTATTTAAAACATGACTGACAGCATACAGACAATTCTCCCGCACCACTTACCGGACAGAAGTAGGTGTTCTCCACAATGTGATTGGCCACCATGCTGTTCTCTGCGGACAGAGACATGATAAAGAGCAAAGCATCCCGAGCTTGCTGGCCTACTGTGCCCTCTCGATGAATGAAGGGTATCAGGAGGGAGAAGATGAGGAAGTTGGCAGCCCCTTGGTCCTCGCTGGTGTGGAAGAAGAGCTCCAGAATAGATGGGTCTTTGGCAAGGATGGAGCAGAGCTGGTTGAGCAGGACAACCAGCTTTCCCTCCACGGCGGGGGTGGTTGTCCCCGAACACGAGCTCAGCAGCATCATCAGGGGCTTCAGGATGGGCTTATGGTGCAGCAGGGGCTGGTACGACTGGGTGACCAGCATCTCGTACATCTTCAGCTGCTCCAGTTTGGTTTCGTCGGTGAATTCCCGCCTCAAGCTCCAGAGGAAGAGCTTCTCCATGATGTTCTCACAAACCACAAACTCCAGAATCGGCCCCATCGCAGCATCCTTGGCTTGTTCTTCAATGAGCAGGAACAGCATGTGTTCTACATAGTTCTGCACGGCGCTGGCCTCATCTGGAGGGATGGATCCATATTTTGCCTGGGTGTTCTTCAAGGGGTCATGCTTCTCTAAGATCTTCACAACCTGCAACATAGCAACCACCTGTCATCCGCTGCCGCTCACCATACTTCCCCCAAACACACTGTTTTTACCAGATTGGCACAAAAACACAGGAGCCATTGGACGCAAAATATGCATAGCTATCAAATATGCTAAAAGTACAAAAGTTAAGAAAAGCAAAACATGCAAAAGTGGTAAGTACTTTTGTGTTCAAAGAGAAAAAAATGAGTTACTTTTCCTCTAAATCATCTATAACACAACACTGCCTTTTAAGTTTCAAGTGCATTAAAGAAGTAAAAAGAAACCTGGCTACCCATATTCTCCCATAAAACTATTGTTCTGAAGACTTCTGCAGAGCAACGGAAGTCCTTACGTGCTCTTGACAAACACTGTGCCCCCCTTCTCCACTTGGAGGAGCAGCCTCTCCAACCAACACAGCAATAGGAGCCTTACGAGGAAAGTGAGAAACTGTCGGCTAGCACAAGTAGAATCAATCCTAACAGAGGCACAGACACAGAACCAAAATCTGGGCTGTGAGCATCTTGTTCTTTAAGCCTAAATAAATAAATAAACAAATAAATAAATGTCTCTCTGAGGTAATCAATTACAAAATAAATTTCTTAAGTTTGGAGTGATACGAAAGTTTTGGATATTGTGGTAAAAATAGTCAATGAAACAAAATTAGACACCACCTAACTCATGGCTAAGGTAGATACATTTTGTTCAGTATCTGATTAGGTCATGCCACATCCTGGTCTATTTCCCTTCCCTCCCACTGTCTGACCTCACTCTGCCCACTGGTACTTCTACTTGGGCACCTGGAAATTTGGGTCATTTTATATCTTAATTTCTATTTCCTCAGTGACAAGGGCGTCTATGATAACCCATCCACTTTCCTCCCTTTAAAACACTGCACCTGGTATTTTTAAACCACCCGACATTTTATTAGAGAGTCTATCTTTGCTTCTGTTTGCCTTTCTGAACAGCATATAACGCAATGTTTGCCTTCGGCGGTTCCCTCCTGGCCCACTTCTATGATGTGTTGCTGCATGTTATGTATTTAGGTAACAGGGTGATTTTTTTTTTTTTTAGTTGTTGGGGAAGCTGGCAAATATACAATGTCATGTCAGCATGCATGAGCAATCAGGGAAATTATTTCTCAAGAAAACGTCTTCATTTCTCATCTGTCAAAATCGTGAGAAAGGAATCTTTGTGCACCAGGTAAGTATATCCTGATAAAATGGATGCATTTCCACACTATCTGTGATCTCTATCAATTTTCATCATAAAGTTGATAATACTGTTTCACAGAGGAAAAGGTGACCCCAACACTTGAGTTGACATTTTTTATGAGGAAAGGCATTTCTTGAACAGCTACCCAAATGATATGTGGTCCATTGATTGGTGACCACAAGGCGGCCACCGGACATCCTCGGCCACAAACCTCCTGAGAACACTTGGTGTCCTACACATTCTCGGGTGCTACAGAATTTCCTGCAGGCCCACTGAGCTCACATTGAGAACATCTGCAGAGAGGAACACGGTAGCACACTGGTCCTGAAGGGGCTTTTACTCCAACACCATACTTTCTCCAGCCCCCAAAGCCCCTAACCTGAAGGTTTTGCCTTCTCAAAAACGAACTGACTTGCACTTTGCCGGTGCTGATTTCAAAATCCGTGTGTTGAGTCTGCCTGTGAGGACTTATTTACAGCTAGGCCTCCAGGTAAAATGTGATTACATTTTCCACTCTGTTCAGTCTGTGCAAACTGCCTAAACCTGAGACTGCTTTATAGACGGGTAGTGGCATGCCAAATCACCTCAGCCTTTCTAAAACATAATCCGGCAATGTGTACCAAATAATGTTATAAAATTGCTCTTGCCCTTGGACTAATCTGAGTTGAGGGTAACTGCCTAAAATGTTTGTGTCAACATTCTTTTCCAATAATGAGAAATAGAAGCACTATTGACCCGGATGGTCAAGAATAAGAGAATTATAACCAAAACATACCACCATACCATATAACTACTGTTACACAAGTTAATCATATTATCACACACAAATTATTTACATATATATAAATATGCATATATTTATGTATAAACATAAACATATGTATAATGTATAAACATATAAATATGTATAAACATATATATGTAAATAATTTTCAAAAAAGCAAACACAGGGGCTGGAGAGACGCCTCATCAGCTTAGAGCACTGGCTGCTCTTGCAAAGGATCCTGTTCAGTTCCTTAAATTCACACAGCAGTTCAAAGCCCTCTGTAACTCAAGTTATTAAAAACCCAATTCTCGAGAATGCCTAAGCGATATAAATTTATAAAGATATACATTTATGCTATGCACATTTAATCAAATACCTATTGTGCATCTAATGTATATATGTAATATACAGCAAAACAATTCATAAGACCACAAATCACATTCTTCTCATTCATTAACCTGTATTTATATGTATCATTGATTCCAAGAATTCTACTATTTACTTTCATTCCCAGTCCTATTGGACAATATCTTTAAAAAAGAACGAAGCTGGGAATCATGGCACACACCCTTCATTCTAGCACTTTGTAGGCGAAGGCAGGTATATCTCTGTGAGTTCAAGACTGGCAGGGTCTACACAGTGAGTTCCAAACTAGCCAGGGCTACATAAAGAGACCCTGTCTCTGAGAGGGAAGGAGGAAGGGAGGGAGGAGGAAGAGAACAGAGAGCTGTGTGACAGAATGAACCCTGTGTAGCTGCTTTTAGTTTTCTAATTTATGTTTTAAAGTGTGTGTCTGTGTAGGTGTGTGAATGTGCAAGCCGGTACCTCTGGCGGTGTCACATCCCCTAGAGCCAAAGTTACCGGCACTTATGAGCTACCTGATGTGGGTACTAGCAACTGAATTCTGGTCCTCTGCAAGAGCAGCGTGTGCTCTTAAACATGGGGCCATCGCTAGGCCATTCAGCAGCATTTAAAACTAAGTAAGTTAGCTCTCCTTAGCGCAGCCCCTTTCTACAGCCTTCTGGGTAAGTGGCCAGCGCAGCCCCTTTCTACAGCCTTCTGGGTAAGTGGCCAGAGAAACCTGAGAGCAGAATTTTAATAATCCCTAGAGATAAAAGGTTTGTTGACCAGGAAGGGTGAGACACCCTGGACCCCCTTTCCTTGCCTGCACCTCTTGCCTGTAGTCTCACTGCATGGGAAATGGGCGTGTTGTAACCAAGGTCGTGAGTCACAGGGCGCCCAAGCTTAGCAAGTGTGCCGCCTTTGTGCCCACGATTTACAAATGCTGAGCCTTGCTTCTCAAGAGGCGCTTCCCAGGCTCCCTCTCCTTCCCTTCCCTGCCAGCAGACATACCTGTAACTGGCATTTCAGGTGGGTTCCGAGGCCACACCTGGGACTGGCTCAGACCATAGCCGGAGCCTTAGAAACTTCCAAGCAGGAACTCGGGTGCACTGAGATGCCAAAGAGCTCCTGTCCAAATGGCACCTCTGTCCTGCAGGGTGACCCCTGGTGTGACCTGGACTCTCCTGATCTTTTCCTTGTGTACCTTTCTGTCACACCACGGCTACCAAACCCTCACATTCTTGCTTCCAGTTTCTCTGCTTGCTGCCTAGTTTTACCCACTGTTCTGACTCTAACCTTCTAGACTGGCGGGTAGTGAGGCTGCAGACAGTGCTGTGAATATCTGCTGTGTTACCCAGCCAAGCCTCCTCTTCTCAGGTGTGGGCCCTCAGTCCTAGGGATTCCAATCGGAAGGGAAAACTCAGCTAAGAAGGCTGGGAGAGCCATAGCAGGAGAGAGACTAAAAGCAAACTAAGTATTCTTTGTGAACTTTTCATTTACAAAACAAGTTCGCTATATTAGGCTGAAAATCATATTTTATAAACTAGCACATGGTAAAAGCCCACATTCATGAAGTAAATCAGCTCAGTTAAAAATAAGAAATGTACTGATCATAACTAGACATGTTTTTCATTGCTAGAGGGCATGTGGGGGTGGAATACGAGCCTGGATCATATTTAGTTCCATATATAAATGGATATTATTTAAAGGTAAACACAAAATGAGCAGTATGAACAGTAGCTTTCAAATCACCATCAGATCAAAACAGTTCAAGTCAACCTAATTTCACGGCCATTTGACCTTTAGATAGAACTACTAAGGATAAATTTTAAAGTAGCCTATTTCTTTCAGAAGGAATATCAGGTGTCCCTACCCTTGGTCTCTAATATGGCTCCATCTATCAGTGATAATGGTCTGGAATGTTAAAGTGATAAATTCTAAAAAGAAAACAGTAGATTTTACATTAATCACATCATTTCACCTCGCGCTGACAAGGGATCATCTTTTGTGACAAACACACGTGTTTCTCTGTCAGGAGATCTGCTTCAGCCCAGTCTTCCATTGCTCTCTGCCTTCTGACACAGGGAATCACGCCACTTTGGCTAGAGTTACCTATTTCAAGAAAGGCACATGAGGAAAACCCACAGTGCTGAACCCTTTGGAATGCTAATTTAAAGTGACGATTCCGGAAAATTTTAAGTTACTACGCAACATTTTCCACTGCAGAGAAAGGGAGGGAGGATTTCACTGGCATGGGCCAAATTATACTTTATGTACCAAATAACGACAACAGAAGTTAAGTTTCCACTGTCTCCCTGACATTCCTTAATGGCTGAGCCTTTCCACTTGGAATATTCCTTGAGTACCTGTCTCGACAGGGTCTTACCAGGGCTGCAAGCCAACTGACCACATAAACGCCTGCCCTCCTTCCAGCTTGCCTGCTTACCCTCATACTGTCTGCCTGCTTGTTTGCTTGCTTTATTTTTCTTCCTTTCCTTCCTTCCTTCTTTCCTTTCTCTTTCTTTCTTCCTTTCCTTCCTCCCTCCCTCTCTCCTTCCTTCCTTCTTTCATTTCTTTCTTTCCTTCCTTCCTTCCTCCCTCCCTTCCTCTCTCCTTTCTTTCTTCCTTCATTTCTTTCTTTCCTTCCTTCCTCCTTCCTTCTTCCCTCCCTCCTTTCTTCCCT